TACGTGGCATGGTCTGTCCACTCACTCTGGCCAAAGACGTGCAATAGCACCGCGGTCCTACTGTAGGGGCAGGTGAGTGACTGGGTTGGTAATGCCCAAGTGAACTGCGGGATTGATTATTGGGAACTACATTAAAGACTGGTGTGTATGCTCTCACTGTGCTGGTCGATTGCGTTTAGGAATAGACCTTTTCTGTCATGGATCTGCCAATGAGCTTTCCTGCCCTGACGACAGTGAAGTTAGGCCTCTGACACGTATGTATACCTCTCTGATAACAACAGGGTCCTAAATGTTCTTCCATTTGATACAGTGGAAAAGGTCAATGAAGTCTCTTCTGTATTTGTGTGTGTGTACCCTTCTCTGTGACTGCAGCCAGAAACACTGACATCAAGTGACTCAATGTACCACTATACAGATGCAAATCCAACAGCAGCAAAAATCAGAGGCCCGTTCAGCAGTAAAAGTTTTTGAGACACGCGATTAATACGAAGTTACTGCTGTCCAATGTATGTTTTCTATTGAGTGATGTTTTAAATATATATGTATGCGGCGTCCGTGGCTTAGGAGTTGCAACCCCGACTCGCTGTTTTAAAAGTATCAGAAAGCCGGGAAACGTGAGCCCGACTCGTAATTCCAACGTACCATGATCAAAAACCACTGCTGGCTGCGTGGATTTTTATCATAGTATGGGGCGTCGTAGTCGACCCAGCCTAAAATTGTTACCAGGATGTTTGGGGAAGTAAAGACGGCTGACGTAATGCATATATACACCATAACGCAAATAGTGAAGATTGGTCTGTAAAAATATGTGTGCTCTTCCCATATGCCCGATGCGCCTAAAGGCGGGAAAAGGGATATTTACTTACTTTACTTACTGTATATATATATGTATATATATATATATATATATATATATATATATATATATATATATATATATATATATATATATATACGTGTGGATGTGTGTGAGGTTGTGTGGTATCCACGGTACGAGTTAGTTTGAGCTTTTTAAATGTAAAACTTTAAAACAGTTGTGTGTGGGTTGTGTGTGCAACCAATGTCCACGATCTTGAAATTATCTTTGTGGTATATATGTTATAAAGCCAACATACAACATATGAAAAAGCCTAGGCATTTCACACTCAAAGTGAATTATCTTTACTGACATTAACTTAATGACAGCACCCGCACCTCTCCAACCGTGTTCCCGGGACTGGCAGGAGGAACATGACCAGGTCCTTGTCGATACAAATAACGTCAGCATGGGATAACAAAGGACAACATATTAACGGTTAAGAAAACTAGTTGGACGGGTGGAATAATGTCACGGTATTTTCAGCATCAAACCGCCAAAATAACAGCCCTTGGGATGCAGTAAATTTGGGTCTGCAATGTCAGAAATTTAATAGGATAAAAAATCGTGCATTGATCTGAACTAAGAACAGTTTCAGGCTGAACGATGTACTTCGGGCGCCTCTCATTAGGACTGGATAGGAGAGAACGCACACGGGCTTATGCAGGCAGGCAGGCAGGCAGGCAGACAGACAGACAGGCAGGCAGGGAGGCAGACACAAATGGATATGGGATGTAAAATATTCTTCTTCTTTGCGTTCACCCGCTGTAAACTCCGACGAAAGTTTTTGTTGTTCGTCTATTTCTGGACTGGAGTCCTGTTTCTGAACCTGAGCGTTTCATGTGCATCGGTGTGACAGATCTGACTCATTTGTGTGCAGACTGTTGGTTCCAAGCCTCTCAGGCAGATGCACTTCGACTTCGAAGGAAGCTCCCAATCGTCGACCCCAATGACATGCTTTTGGGTAGGCAGTGGGTCTTATTTTCCCTACAATAGGGCCCCGGAACCTACACGGGGAGAATGTAATATAATTCTAATAATAAATTAACATCAGGGGGCGCTGGAACCTGCTCCTCCTCTCCCACTCACCCCTACTCACCCCCCCCCCCCCCCCCACCTTCCAAACCATGCAAAGAAGACCGCTTTTTAATATTTTGTTTATGTATATCATATTTTTTCAAACATATATTTATTTTCCATTCTGCATATTATTGTTAATTTCAATATTATTACTAATCATTTAAACAAGCTTTCTGCCCCATTGGGCCATTCTTGAAAATGTGTAAGAGAGCTTTCCCTGTGGTCTTCTTTCTGTCCATACTCCTAACAATAATTTCAGAAAGCCCACAATGGTCGCTGACGTAAAGGTGTGCAATGTGGCTCTGTCTAGTGTTTGAATGAACTCATAACGCTGCTATACTGACGTTCTTAGGTACATAAAGTTACTAGGAATATACCAGACGACGAACACGTACTTATTGATCTTTATTCCCTGTTTTAACAGTAGCACTATCCAGTCGCTCACTTGTGTCCTCGTGGGTGCTACGCATAGCTGATTTATGACATTACCAACTATCTCACACTGTGATTCTCTCTGTCGTAACCTTTCAGATCATACATCCGGATCAGGCTAACATCTTGTTCCTTGTACCTGTACACAATCGAAACATGCAGTCAGTAGACATTCATTTCTGCTCTCGAACAGTTACACGTGGTCAGACTGTCTGCATTCTTCTCAGCGGTTTTCTCGCATTCGACTGCACACATCCAGATCCAAACTTCAAATAACTTCCTATCCTCTCTTGGTTCACATCTTCCGTTTTAATCTCACGCTTTTCCCGTACCTCTATTCACCCAAAACGGGATACTCGAGACATGCTTATCTCGCTTTCCTCTTGTTTCACTGATCCTCTGACCTTGTCCCCCCTCCCCATCGGCAACTCTCTGGGATTTCCCAGGGAATTCACAACATTACAAGGAAGCATTATCATCCAATTCTGTGGTTAGCTTTGGTAGCAGACTTTGTCCCATGTGAAAAGCAAATAAAGTCACTGCGCTGTAGAAGTCTACAAAGTAGTAACAGCATGCTGCAGTTTAATTTTAAGGACACACAAAGGATGTCAACAATTGATTCAGCGTTCAGAAATGGTACCAGATATGGAAAGAAATGTTTGTAGCGAGAACTGGTAAATAATTAGCATCGTTACTGTTCATTTTGTTGTTGTTGTTGTTGTCGTCGTCGTTGTTGTTGTTTGTGCGTCCTCTTGACAGTATTTCAACTCTTTCTCAAGTCTGATGCATTCAAGTCGCTAAGGTTTTTAATGGGCCGTTTGTTTGTCTATCATTTCACGATACCGGCTTTCAATACCACAAGGAAAAACCAGAGACTCCGGATATTCTTTTAGGTTTAAATGCTCATTACAAATCAACAAATGACTTGACTGAAGTTGTGCTATTCCAGAGTGTTAGGATAGGGTAAATTAAACTTCTTTAGAATACGTTTCCACAACGCCTAGTTTCTCCAACGCTCATTTGTGTTATCACACAGACAGGCTATGTTATGCAATGCAACAGACACTCCATCTCATCTCAATGAGAAACGTGTCTCGAAGCAGCAGTGCTAGGTTCGCAGTTAGCGAGTGCAATTGCCGATACAGATATGAAAGTGCATCTTCACAAAAACACAATCATGGTGAGCAAACCGCGCGCGCACACGAGGGTACGCGGGGAGATAGGAGAGGGGGAGGGGGGAACATAAAGTGCATTACTAAAACGTTCCAAGAACGACGGTATAATCTGCATGGTAATCAGGGACAATAAAAGAACCATAAAACTGTTAGTGTGTGGGACGTGTATTAGTGCTGTGGCAATGAAAGAAACTCGGCTGCACAAAATCATGAGACGATTTTTATAATTTAACAAGAATATGCCGCGGGAGTGTTGTGTTAGCCGCTGGCCTGCCGGCCCGAGGGTCTTGGGTTCCATTCCGCGTCTAAGCGAACGTTTTTCTTTTTCAAATTTGCCTTGGCTATCAGGTCGAACCAGCCTACAATAGGTATTCAGTCATATCTGGGGAGCAAAAGGTGGTCAGCGTGATGTTAATCACATCACCCAAAGGGTGCCGATTGATCTAAAGAGATATTTAGCATTAAATTCCCGAGGCTCAATGTAACAGGGTGTCCTTTATTGAAAGTAAACAAGTACACGCGACTATGTGGCATTTATCTGACTAGAAGTCATTATCATTAGGTGACATGCCGATAGGCGGAATTGCTGTCGATATCTTACCCGATAATTAATCCTAGAGAAGGTTCACAATATAATAGAACGAAAAAGAGTAATCTAAATGTTTGGAAACAGATCATAGGAGAAGGAAATCCAATACACACACTAACACTTACACACATGCATGCGCGCGCACACACAGAACTGAAGAGGAACAACCAGTGGCGTGACGTGGGGGGTGGGGGGAGGGGGGGGGACGTGAAAAAAGTGATGAAATGGAACACTGTAATAAATGCTGTGTTCGATTGTGAAGATGCAATGTCAGCAGCTAGTAGAGATTGCCAAGCGAAAGATTCGGCACCAAAGAATGGATTATACACAGCGAGGAACATGCCAGATAACATAGGGCTTGATGATGATGATGGTGACTGCTGAAATGACCTGCAGTACATATAAACTGACCCTCCCAACAACCCTGCTTTCTTAATCTTCCACTTTTCCTTAATCAAATTCACTTAAATCAATAGCAGAGCCTGGAAATTTTCTCTCCTTGTTGTGCTATCTTCCAGCTGTGTTCCTGTACCTTATATATGCACACCACAGCGAGGTGACATACCTGCTGCCATTTCCACGTCCAGCGAAAACTGCTACACTCATAAAAACAGAGAGAGAGAGAGAGAGAGAGAGAGAGAGAGAGAGAGAGAGAGAGAGAGAGAGAGAGAGAGAGAGAGAGAGAGAGAGAGAGAGAGAGAAGCAGACCGCAATAAATGCAAGTTATGCCAAAATAACAGCTAATGTGCTTTTTGTTATTGGATTGTGTCCGACCTATGTGAAAGAGGCAAAGAAATCGATACCCGACCAGCAGCGTGAATGCTAATGCCGAGATGTCACGACAAACACACCAGCAATAAGTACTCACCCACAAAGTCCCATATTAAAACGTCCGATACCTCTTCGTGGATAAAATACATGTTGCCCAGGGCCTAAAAGGTTGGATGAAAAGAGAACATGTACTTAGTTATTATTAATCGTCGTTACTATCATCAAAGCTGCTATATTATAAGTGACTGCACGAGACAGACAGACAAATAGACAGAAAGGCAGACAGAGTTGTGTTGACATAGCTGCGTGTCCTTTAGATGACGTTGCAGCGCCAAACTCGGCATATTTCGGCTGCTGAGTCTTTATAGGCGAAGTTATATTCAGTAGTTTGCCACTGTTTCCTTAAAGGTCTACTCTAGATACCACTGTCAAAACCAACGAAAGACGATCTGCTGCCAAATCATCTGGGTCGAACCCGGCACCCCGACATTACGAAGCGCGTTCGCAACGTCTAAGCCACAGACGCTGACTCTGTCGACTTACAGAGCATACATTGTTTTTTTTTCCTAAGTATACAGTAATATACAGTGAAGACTGCTTAAGGCCGCTTTGATGTTTTGAAGTTCTTTTGTGAAGAACAATTTGTTTATCCCCCGCAATTTGTCTTGCTTGAGCTCTGTATCTGAATAAGAGGAATTTCTGATATAAAGAACTATTTACTGGATCCCCTATGATTTCTGCACTGTATTTCTTTATCATCCTCCTCGTTCCTCTATCGAAGGCAGTGAGTCAAATTTACCTATGTACATCACATGCCAGTTTGTCTGCGTTAGCACGAATAAGATTTATTGTATAAGATTTACTTCCTTAGGACGGACTCCATCCAACCACCTGAGGCAGCCCTAACAATTCTGCCAGGTTCCAGGCCTTGCTACTTTCTCCCCCCCCCCCCCCCCTCTCTCTCCCTCTCTCTCTCTCTCTCTCTCTCTCTCTCTCTCTCTCTCTCTCTCTCTCTCTCTCCCTCTCATTCATACACACACTCTCTATCTCTATATCTCTATATCTCTCTCTCTCTCTCACTCACTCTGTGTGAAAGATGGGAGTTTAAAAGGGCCGAATGTAAGACAGGCCTGCGTGCCTAATTTTTTACCCTTTGAAAATAAAGTTCGTTGTTTGTTCACTCCTCTCGGCTTGTAGCAGGTCTAGAAAGCATGCTCTGACAGGCGGTCAGACAGAGAACTGCTCTTTTGATCTCTTAGCTTCTGCAGTGTCTTCTTTGCCTGTCCTTTACTCCCCAATGAGGCAACGGTTTTTAAAAAAAAAAACTCACGCCAAATTGTCCTATCCTTTGCTACTGCAGGTAACTCACCTAAATTCCCCCCCCCCCCCCATTTTCCCACCACCATCTTTTTAACCTCACTCACTAACTCCCTTCTCCATGTGTGTGTGTGTGTGTGTGTGTGTGTGTGTGTGTGTGAGTGTGTCTGCCTTTATTTCTATTCCGCTGTGGGAACTAGTGCAAAGACAGTCTAGTTGTATTGATCTCCGGCTTTCTCAACGTGTGTCCTATCCAACGATAGCGTTGTTTATTCACCTCTTGATTTACTTGATCTTCTTTTGCAGTGTGATTTGTTCAAAGCGTATTGGTGTTACTTTTCCTGTCGAGTAAGCAAGGCAGGCCAAGAGGTGAATCATGCTGCATTAGCAACACACTAGTCTCTACAATAATGCTTAGGCTTTGTGCTATGGTCGCCATGGCCGTGGGCTTGTGATTCGCATACCTCCATATAGCATGAGATAACACTATCATCTGGAAATACAGAACGATGCCAGCCAAACGTCGTGCACACTAGACTCCTTAAAACACACGTATGCATATGTAAGCTTTGCAAACATAAAAAACATCCGCTTTATTAAGGAAACTCTGCTTTTAATAAATCTACAAACATGACTGTATCATCCATTCCTGATTAACCATAATTAAAATTACAGTACAGAAGATGATGTGAACAGTATGTTTTGTTTAGCTGAAAATAATGTGAGCCCACACAAAGCTAGCTTTTAATTCAGCTGGGTTGGTGTTGGTGTTTAAAGGACCACCTGCACTGCTGAGGGAAGGTGATCAATTTACATGTGTAAGTGTTAGCCGGTAAGGATTACACTGGAAAAGGAACCACATGAAACTTCCCCTATCGTCTTTTCGCTGTTGAAAATATGCGTGCACCGCTAGCAATGTAGTACTAGTAACTGATAGCTAGGTTAGTTTCTGTATCATTAGGTGTGTCAAGCATGCAGTGAGCGTTAACTTAGCTACGCCCGAGATGTAAGCTGAGTGGCGTATTTGTAATAAATGGTAAACAGTAGTAAAACCGCTGATCTCTCTGGCAAACCTCTACACCCCAAGGTAGAAGAGGAGCGACTAAGTAAGTAAGGTAAACAGTAGTAAGAAATAGTTTTAAAAAAAATTTTTGCCATTAAAACTGTCATCCCTTCCCAAATTAACAAGTAAACGCTTCCACTGTTCCTCTTTTAACCAACAATTACGAGGGTAATAAACCCTTTAGTCAGTTAAACGCTGTCTCCACAATGCATGCTGGCTGCAGTGATAGATGGTCTCAAACTACGGTGGTTTCTTGATATATTTATGTATGCCCATAGCTTGCTTTTGTCTCTCCACTTTTAGCGTTACTTATCACCTGTCTGGCCGGATTCAATGCTTATCTCTGATATACACACTGCATTTATCGTGTCCGACTCACTTAATCCCCACCCCTGTTAGCAATGTCTGAGGTACACACACAAAAACCTTTATTTGCCAAAAAATTAGTCAAGTGCAAGATCTGGTGCTACTGCCCACCTTATACCTAAATTTGCAAGCATGTCTAAGAGTGCTCTACTGCAGGCAAGAAATACAGAAACATAAACAAAAATCAGCAACTTACAGTAAACTTGTCCGAGGCCGTGTAGTCTTCATCTAAAAATATCCGTGCTCTGTCGTACTTGTGCAGCTCTTCGGATGCCAACAGTGTCCTGTGGGACATATCAGCAGTCAGTGAGTACAGCAGGCAATTCAAAACACAAGACAGAGTAGTAGATGGTAATGGAATTTACAGGATATGAATTTATGTTAAGATTATTGACTCCCAGTGACGCAGGATAACACTGAGCAAAAGTTTCTGTACGCTGTCACTGTATAGTCGATGTATCTGTTTTTTGCACGTAGCACAGTTTGCCTATGTATGGAGAGTTTACAATTGTTTCATTCTGTAACAAGATCACCACTGTATTTCCCCAGAGCATTAAGGACCCTTTTCCACACCTTCCTGCATATTTATTGGTCATGTAGTGATAGACCTATATTTTATAGACCAATCGGCACTTGGGGGTGATGTGGTCAATTAACATCACAACAGCCGCCTTTACTTCCCAGGACTGTACTGGTACCGATTTAAAGCTGGGTCGACACTGAAGCTAAGGACATTTTTGAAGAAAGAAAAAAGTCTGGCTCGGTCATGGTCCCGAACCTCTAACCTTCCGATGCGCTGCGTGCGTTTAGCCGCTTCACCAAGAGTCCCCCCCCCCCCCCTTTTCCCCCCCTCGTTCCAAACAAAATTAAACAAGGTCTCATAACTGTTTACCCTAAAAGACCTCAAAGTGCTTAGTTTCGGTGGATGTCTTTTTTTCCAGGTATTAAAATGCGCCCGCTTTAGTATTTAAAAACACATAATTATAATTGATATTATCATTAAGTTATTTATAGCACAAATGTCAATATTAGTATTTATTTATATTTATTTATACATTAATTTCTGCATAACCAAATACGTCTGTCGTGTGTTTCAATGGGCGAAAGAAGTGTTACATCTTATTTCTGGGTGGGTGGGGGTGTCTATTAGGGGGCATGCTGAAAAATCATGAAAAGGTTTCTTTTGGTGTTGGACCATAATTTCTGGGAAACTCAGGAGGAGCCGGAGCAGTAGGTAGTTACTGTGTTTGGCGAGCTGGTGATCAAACCTCAATTCCTAGAAGTGGTGAGATTTCTGTTTCGACTACTACTACAAACGGGGTCCATTAAGACTAGTCAAAATGAGACTTTATGTTATTATCCCGGGCAAAGCCGGGTTAATGAATTTTTGTCTGTTGTTTATTCAACGGATCAACGTCATGGCACACGGTGTAACCCATAAGTGCTCTGTTCTACTTCTGACTCAAGCCTGAGTCTTAAGCATCTCAGCGCAGTGCACGAACTCTGTTGCACCGGCGAGAATCCTGAAATACTTTGGGTAGAATTTTAGCTCCAAATTTTGCCCAGACAGTGCCGATATGCTACTCTTTTTCGATTTCCAACTGCGAAGGGATTTTTTTACGTGCGCAACAACACATACGGGCGTCCGATCTTATTACTTCGAGACCAGGGGAAATTACTAGAACATCATACTTCGAGACCACTTAGCCCCTTGAATTAAATCTAGTATACTATATATTCACTGCATGATCTATATCGAGCACATATGGAGCGTTCACGTGGACAAGGGGTGTCACTGGCAGCAGGTGGACCTATTACAGAGGGACATATCATCTGTATCTACTTCCTAACACGTTCGACTGTTATGATATACATTAATACTAACACCATGTCGGTAATGGATAATGAAGCACTGACACGGCCCAATAAAAATAAACTCACATGAGACCAACAACAAATAAATGAAAATATTTCCGTTAAACCAGCAGGTGACATTTGAAGAGCAGTTATTCTTACACAAACGGTGCGTTTCGCAGCGCTCTTGTTCCATTCCAGAAACGTTTGTATTAGCATACAGTCTGCATTTGTCAGCGCGTATGCAATTTATTTTGCTCATGAGACGGCTTGATAACACGGCTGTAATAGGTCCAACTGCCGCCACTGACACCCCACGTCGAACAGAGGGAACGCTCACACAATGTATTTACTTTGTATTATCATTCTGCAATAGTTTTCTTTCTCTGTACCACCGTGTGTTTCCCCTAGTGTGTTAAAGGATATGTTAGTTTTAACATGTACTTTAGGTTGAAACGTCGGTTCCTGTGACCTACGCGTTGTCTCATACTGTGACCAAACCGGATGTCCTCCCCCTGTGGGGGTAATCAAACGCAATGATTTCTTGCAGTATCAGATAACGACTGTGCTGGATGTTAATGGGATTCTCTTAGCACTATAGTGAGAGAAACCCGTATCTTTGTGGCACCCAGTCTAACATTGTTCAATGTCCACGATTTATACCAATACAACAGTATCACTGGAGGTTACAGATTGTAATCCCGCTATATGCACAGCTGCTTCTTTATTTCCAACTGAAGGTGTCCTCTAGTTTCTACATCTGTCCTATGCCTTCCAGCGGCTGCGATCAACACTCTTTAATCTATCATTGTTTCTGTCACCTAGTCTTCATTTCATTTTTCAGAGACTATTCTGGCCAGTGCTGGTCAGTCTGAACCATTACTAAATGATAATATATTAATGTAAAATTATATCAGCAAGCCTGATCAGCGAGAAACATTCAACACCGAAAGAAAAGCTACAAAATCGTTACCAACCCAATTGTTTGTTTCGACACGGCTAATTAAAAACTAAGAGAAAACGTTATTTAAACCTATCTGACAATGTGAACGCATAAATGCATTTGAATATAAATGTTACAGACAGGTTCTAAGAATATCTTGGGTAAAGAAAAGAACAAATGCATCCATACTTCAAGAGCTGAATATTGAAGAGGGTTGGCTAGTAAAGACAATAAAACAAAGAAAATTGAAATATTTTGGTCACTTGAAAAGTCATGGAAGTCTAGAGAGAACAATAATGGAGGGGTATATGCCTGGGAAGAGAGGAAGAGGAAGGCCAAGGAGAAGATGGGTGCAGGATGTGGCAGATGATCTCCAGATGGGTGTATCAGACGCAGGACATCTTGCTCAGGATAGGAAGGTTTTCCGGAGGGTTGTTATGGCAGCGAGGTTCCGCGAGGGACATGCTACTGAATGAATGAATGACAATGTGAACCTGACACCCGAACACAACATGAAAATAACCCTAGTAAGAAAGAAAGTAAGACTTTTAGTAGTCTCACTGTTAAAACAACAATCAGTCAAATCACGTGCATTCTGTTATTAACAGCTAGTATTCATACCCAGATATGTGCATAATCAGTTACTTATCATCATCATGTGCTCATCCATTGGTGGAAAATATCCCCTCTCACTATAAACATTGCTGTTTACTATCCATGACAGAAACTTGTGACCCAACGATGATGATTTCAGGATACCAGACTTCCTATCTATTTTTCCTCTCTGCAACCCAACTTTTTTTTCCCCTGTTAATTCTGTCAACTGTTATGAAATAAAATTCTTGTGATTATGTCTAAAAGCTGTGACTGCTGCATTCCACTAGTAAATGCTTCATTCAGTCTAGTAAACGCTTTTCTCTGTCTATTAAATGCTATTTTCCCTGCTCAATAAATGCTTCCTTCTGCCTAGTAAATGCTTCCTTCTGCCTAGTAAATGCTTCATTCTGCCTAGTAAATGCTTCATTCTGCCTAGTAAATGCTTCATTCTGCCTAGTAAATGCTTCATTCTGCCTAGTAAATGCTTCATTCTGCCTAGTAAATGCTTCATTCTGCCTAGTAAATGCTTCATTCTGCCTAGTAAATGCTTCATTCTGCCTAGTAAATGCTTCATTCTGCCTAGTAAATGCTTCATTCTGCCTAGTAAATGCTTCATTCTGCCTAGTAAATGCTTCATTCTGCCTAGTAAATGCTTCATTCTGCCTAGTAAATGCTTCATTCTGCCTAGTAAATGCTTCATTGTGCCTAGTAAATGATTCATTCTGCCTAGTAAATGCTTCATTCTGCCTAGTAAATGCTTCACTCTGCCTAGTAAATGCTTCACTCTGCCTAGTAAATGCTTCCTTCTGCCTAGTAAATGCTTCCTTCTGCCTAGTAAATGCTTCATTCTGCCTAGTAAATGCTTCATTCTGCCTAGTAAATGCTTCATTCTGCCTAGTAAATGCTTCATTCTGCCTAGTAAATGCTTCATTCTGCCTAGTAAATGCTTCATTCTGCCTAGTAAATGCTTCATTCTGCCTAGTAAATGATTCATTCTGCATAGTAAATGCTTCATTCTGCCTAGTAAATGCTTCACTCTGCCTAGTAAATGCTTCATTCTGCCTATTAAATGCTTTATTCTGCCAGGTAAATGCTTCATTCTGCCTAGTAAATGCTTTATTCCGCTGACTAAATGCTTCTTTCTGCCTAGTAAAAACTACAGATGACAGACAATATGAATCAAAATTCAGTGCATTGACAACCGATAGGCCACAACATAAATAAACTAGTCGCATTGGTCGTGGTCATCTTAATCTGATTTGATATTACCTATGTGTCGTAAATTGCGGCGTCCGTGGCTAAGGCGTTGCGAGTCCGACTCGTAAGCCAGCATACCGCGATCGAAACCCACTACAGGCTGCGTGGATTTTTGTCGTGGTATGGGACGTCGCAGGTCGACCCAGCCTAAAATGGGTACCAGGACTTTTTACTTTTTTATATGTCGTAAATTATTTCTGGAAAAGGTATGTAAGGGAGAACCACCACACGAATATAAGTAAGCTGTGGACAGTCAACAGCTATAGTTCGTTCAACATCTTATGATCACACATGCAAGCCATTTTCTCGAAAACTGCCTGTTAGATCGCAAGGATTTTTTGCATGCAGCAAAAACTCACGCTATTCTTTAGTTCATAAGATTCTTAGGATGCAGAATACCAGCCAACCCCTTTGATCTTTTGGAACCATTGATTAGGAGCAGCAGGGGATAATGGGGCCTGTCGTCATGACCCAGGTTGGCCCACCTTCCGAGTTTGTTTAGGATGGTGACGGGTCGAAACAAATGCCAACGGAGGATTTTCTACAGGTGACCGGTAGATTCCTTCTGTGTATGCTCCCCCGTTGGGTCTTTTCTCATCAGTGTGAATTTGCTTCGACTAGCAATCAATGGAG